TGTACTTCGTTGATCTGCCTGTTCTGCTCCCCACTCTGCCTCTGGTGAAACCTCTCACCCTCCGCATCTCCAGCCTGTACCCCAGTTCTGAATGAATAAATAAATAAATCTTTAAAAAAAAAAGTACAAACTCTAAGCAAAGATTGATAAATTTGACTCCATTAAAATGATGCACCTCTGTTCATCAAAATGGAGAGAGTTAAATCATGGAGTGGGAGACTCTGACTGCATCACAAATAACCAGCCAATGATTGGTAGTGCCCAGAATAAAGGTCTCCAGTGAGTGAAAAATAAGATTACTCCTTAAGATTGTAAAATAGTCATCTCACAGAAAAGGAGGTAGATGGCTAAAAAAGTTCTTTGACTTCATCAGAAATCAGTTCCAACGACAATGGAACACAAGTTCCAACCACAATGAGAACAGTGTTGGCAGGAAATGTGGCACTGATGGCAACAGCAGCTGTCCAGCTGCTGCAGGACATAGTTAGACACAGTCTATTCTAGTTGTAGGTGAATATTCCCAATGGCCCAGCAACCCCATGCCTAAATCTATACCCCTAGAAAACCTGCAGATGTGTTAGAGGCATGAATTGGAATGCTGGCAGTCTCCTTACTTATAACTGCCCCCATGGAAACTACCAAAATGTCTTGTAACAGTACAGTGTTTAACTTGTGCTGTGTTCATGCAATGAGATCCTAAGCAGTGGTGAAATGAATGAACTACAGCAATAATTATCAATGTGGATGAATCTCAAAAACAATGTTGAGCAAAAAAAAGTATTAAGGGTTCAAACACAGACAAAGCAAAATATTATTTATGGATATGACATGTGCAATAGCTGTGATACAGGAGTGATGAGCACAAAACCTGGAATGTGCTTTCTTCTGGGGCAAAGGAGGGGGTTGCTGGAAAAAGAGGAGGCTATGCGTATGGCCCATGAATTGTCAAAATTCTCTTCAGGTTGGTGATGGCTGCATATGTCTTTCCATTTTTTTATACTGTTAAGCATATATGTTATTTGCACTTGTTTGTTATATACTTTTAATTCGTTCCATTTTTAAAAAAACCCTGGGCTAGGAACCTCCCCGGTGGCGCAGCGGGTTAAAGCACAGCACCAAGAAGCTAAAGCCACTTCCGCATGAGTTGGATTCCCGCCTGCCCCAGAGGTGATCCACGTGGCGTGGCAGACCTCTCCTGACCCGCCCGTGGCTCCTCTCAGCAGTGTGTGCTTCATCAGTCGGCCTGTTCTGCTCCCCACTCTGTCTCTGGTAAAATCCTCTTACCGACCCTGCACCTCTGGCCTGTACCCCAGTTCTGTATGCACAAATAAATAAATCTTAAAAACAAACCAAAACACTAAAACCCTGGACTAAGACTCAAACTATTTTCTGGAAGCAACTTTCTACCTTCTTAATAATGGCTTTATTCTTCCTGTCAAAATTCCCATTCCCAGTCTTAGACTGTTTTTATTCAAAGAAGGGAAGAGGGACATTTGCCACACGGCTCCACCCTCATGTGGAATTTGTTCTACCACCCACTAATCATTTCCTGTCTGTGACAGATGTACTTCACTCGCGATTCTTTAAAGCTCTGAGGCAGCTCACCTCCTCTTCCCATTGCTCGTGCATTGTCCTAGAAACTTTTCAGGAGTGTTGTCTCTCTAATTTGGCAATAAGTAGAAGACACTGGTGGTCTTCTTTTACTGAAGCACATTTGTTAGGTGTTTTTCATTGCAAAGGTAAAACACATAATTCAAACAATAAAATGGTAAAGTAGGTACCTATTTTGAAGCACCTCTCTCTTTTTAAGGATCTATTTATGCATACAAGATCTGGGGCATAGGCCAGAGGTGTGGGAGGGTGAGAGGATTCACCAGAAACAGAGTGGGGAGCGGGACAGGTGGATCTACTGAAATACACTGCCGAGGGGAGCAGTGGGTAAGACAGGAGAGGTCTGCTGCACCATGTGGGTCACCTCCCTGGCTGGGAATTGAACTCCTGCTGCAGTGGCTGTGGACATTTTCATAATTTGCACTTTAACCTATTGTGTCACCATGGAGGATCCTAAAGCACCCCTCTTCATTTGATGTGTTTTTTTCCATATTGGTTTCTGGAGCTGATAAGCAGATTTTTTATCTACTGTTTCAAGGGGTTTACTGATGAATTCCAGAGCCAGAGACAGTCTCTGTCCTGGATGGTTCCCTTATCCTTCAGGTCCCAGGGCATTAAGCCTTTGTTCTTTTATCTAGGTCACTACCATTTTCTCCCCTTCCTCATCTTCACTTGATTTCTTGTCTCCTGGCAAGATGAGTGCTATTATTGGCCCTGCTTTTACAGATGAGAACACTGAGTCACAGAAAGTTGAGATAACTTGCCACATAGTCTCATGTCAGAGCCAGAACTCAAGCTTATCAGCATTCATGTTCTTAATTGTTAGGACACAATTTGCTGGAGGTTGTTACTTTTTGATACCCTTTGCTAGACCTTATCAGGTAAGTGTTCATTCTTACTCTTTTATTCCACAGCGGAGCCCCATATATCAGATCTTCTTCCCGTGGGATGGTGCCTTCCCTGTCTGCTATCCCCAATCACTCAGGCATCTTCTAGGCTGTCAGGGCAACTGCAGGCCGTGCTTCCAATTTATTTTTGCTAAAATTTTATTTGGCACATTTTCTGAGGAAAAGAAGCAACACTGATTAAGAGCATACACAACTTACTTGTTTTGTGACTTTGGGCAAATTCCTCACCTCTTCAAATTTCAGGTTCTTTATCTGTAAAATGAGGGTAGTAATAGCATCTCTGCTTGTAGATGTAAGCTTAAATGAAATTAATTAATTTCATTTAATTTCATGTATTAATTAACTAATACATGCAAAATATGGATAGGTAGATAGGCTGCTACTGTTGTGCTTCATGTTAAATGTTAGCCAGTTTTATTTTTTGATAGGGAAATTGAAATTTGATCTCAATTTAGTAAAGGTACGTTTGAGTATGTATACCACAAAAATAATACTGAAAAGAATTGTGCCAAAATATGTGCAGTATCGTGTTATTATGGGTTGTTTCTTTAAGCTTTAAAAAAATTTCCCATCTTTTTAAACAATCAACCTCTGTCATTTTTGAGCCTGCCTTTTAAAAAGCTCAAAGAAAGTCATAGGATATAAGTAGACGGTTTAATATAGAATTTTAGAATTTGACTTGGGTCCTCTAAATGTCAGTTTTAAAGACATACCTGTATTTGTATTGAATGTCTTCCAAATTGCTTTGAGTAAAAGGAAGACAGCCACGCCTAATTATGCACCAGGGAGAATGCTTGTGGGAAAGCAAAACGTGTGTTCCAGAAAGGAACAATCATTGCTACATTAGCCTATACTGCCCTATCTTTTCTTTATAAGTGAAATTTTAAAACTGAATATAGGTTAAGAACTAATACATACAACTTAAACTCATTTTCAAAACCAGAGTCTCTTTCAAGGCACTCCTTTAAATAGCAGGTAGTGGGCAACAGCTCTTGTCTCCGGGTGGCGCTCAGAACTCCTAAGGTCTGTGAAGTGTGGAGAGGGATTAAGCTGGCTTGAATAGGATTCATATTTGTTTCCTTGCTTGCCAGCCACACAAACCTTAGTCATCCTCAAAATTCGCCAATAGCAATTCTTTGCCTCGGATGATTGAAAATCTTCATTAAAGGAAGAGTTCTAAAATGACCTTGTCATCAGATAAACTTGGCCACTTAACTGGCTATGTGAGCCACGTACTTGATTTTGTTTAGTCCTAGTTTTCTTACCTCTACTAATATCTAAGGATTAAATTAGAGAGATAAGTATAATCTGCCTGTGCATGCTTATAGGCCGAGTGCTGTGTGCAGCACAGTATTTGAATGTAACCCTCTAACAGAGGCCAAGAAGGCAGCATGACTAAGTGGGTAGGAGGCTGGGCTCTTGGTCAGAATATCTGGAGTTAGGTCTAAACTCACGGATTTCTTCATTGTCCATTTTCTTTACAGTGAAGAATGTGTGTACAGTTGTAGTGTGAGGTTTCCTCATTTGTAAAACGAGGATATTAGTACTACTTGTACATTAGTATTTTAGCATGCTATTTTGCTGGGATTTTGTGAGGCATTCTGGGTAATATTTGAAAGTATAACCTTGACCAGCATTATCCTGATGCCAAAGCCAGATGAAGACACTATGGCAGGTTGTCAGATAACCACTTGTTATAATTTTGATGAAGAAAAAAAATATCCTGGGCAAAAATCAACAAAAAATATTTTTCAAGGATTTGCTTTTGTTGTATGACATTTCACTTCAAGTCCCACTTCCCAAGAAACTATCAGTGATATTAGGACTTAGTGTACAAGAAAGTGTCACAGGGCTACCCCAGTGTGAAATGGGTGGGTCCTCACCTGTGTGCATAAAGGGAACTTCTGAGACTTAACTGCAGGCTCACACAAAAAAGATAATAAAAGGTTTATTTACAAAAAGGTCCATTCAGCAGTGTATTTCAGTAGATCTGCCTGTTCTGGTCCCCACTGTGTCTAAATACAGAGTGGAGGGGTATTCCCCCTACATGTCTGACCTACACCCAGTACTTATATGCATAAATAAATAAGTACTTTAAAAAAGGTCTTGATATAAAATTTAAACAAATTTCTTTTATTTTTAGATCACCACACTTATTAATCATAAAGATAATACCAAAAAGTCTGACAAAACTCTACAAGCAATTCAGCGTGTAGGACAAGCTGTCAACTTGGCAGTTGGGAGATTTGTTAAAGTAGGGGAAGCGATAGCCAATGAAAACCGGGATTTGAAAGAAGAAATAAATATTGCCTGTGTTGAAGCCAAGCAAGCAGGTATGTGCACACTGATATTGAAACCTCTTCATGTCAATTGAACTGCTTTGGATATGAGGGCAAATGACTATTTGAATTTGAGCCAAGATATATACTGTACTTTTAGTCTTACGATTCCAATTGTTTAGGATAGTAAGGGCCTGGACTAGCTTCCCAGATTGTTGAACTTCTCTTGGGTCAAGTCCTAAATCTGAAACACCGAACTCTTTCATTAAGCAAGGCAGGAGACTACCAGCATTGGCAGCAGTCATCGAAATGTGGCAGATAGAGAGGGGTGTGTGCTTCCCTGCACTCTGCACTCCAGAAGCATACAGCTCTTGCCACTACGCAAGAAGTGGGAATAAAGATAAGCATGCGCTTGCCCTTTACAGCAGATAAATAATACTGACGTCAAACTTCACAGTGTCCCACAGTTCTTTTTAGGTGATGACACAGAAGCCTGAGTGAACCTGGCATATTTGATGCCTACAAATATTTCAGATTTGTTGAAGTATCACTTATCCATTTATTCTCCCAGTAAATAGTTACAAAGTGCTAGCTATGTGCCATGCTTTCTTCTAGGACATACAGACAGTGAATGTGCAAGTCAGTCAACAGTCTATCCTCATGGAACTTGTATTCTAGTTAAGGAGATAGAGGCCCCTCTAGAGCAAAGCCTTGAATAAATGAATGTATGAATGAGTGAGTAATGTCAGGGAGTGGTAGTTATCCTAAAGAAAGTATTATCATACTAATGACAGTATATGTTAGGGAGGACAGAGTTAATGAGGTTTTGTGCTATTGACCTTTTAGGGTCAATTCTTTGTTAATAATTCTTTGTTGGAGTTGGGAAACTTTCTTGTGCATGGTAGAGTTTCATAGAATCTGCAGTGTCTTTTATTTTTAGATCACCATGCTAATTAATCATTAAAAAGCTATTATTAATACCTATTAGATGCCTCTAGATCTCCTCTTCCCCCCAACCCCCCTTGTGAAACCAAAAATGTCTCCAAACATTGTGAAATGTTTGTGGAGTCAAAAAAACTCCTAGTTGAGAAAGTGCTGAGATAGAGATTCAGGAAGTTCCTCTAAGGAAGTAACATTTGGACAGAGTCTGCAATGCAGTGAGGCCCAGCTATCCAAATATCTAGGGGAAGGGTATTTTTGGTAAGAAGAGCAAAATTGGATCTGATCTTTTAGGAAAAGATAGGAACTTTGGGCTATTGTTCTAAGTTTTTTGGGGTTTTAGAGGGTAGTTTGTTTAAAGTGATGACATAATCTTATTTGTCATTCAAAAGAATGGCTGGTGGCTTCATATAGTGTATCAGTCTCTGGAGGTATGAGGGAAAATGAGAGACCAGGTAGGAGGTTGTTGTGGTGGCCCAGGTGATAGATGATGGTGACTTGGATAAGGTTGATAGCATTTGGGGTGGTGAAAGTAATTGTATTTGCAGATAATGTCAAGTCAAAAGTGGTAGGATTTGTTGATATTTTGAACATAGGATATGACTAAAAGGTTTGGAGTATGAGCAGCTGGGTAAATGGCAGTGCTGTTGGTTGAAATGGGCAACATGGAGCCAGGTGTATTTGAAGGGTCATCACAAGGGTAAAGTATAGCCAAGTAAATGTGAATATAAGGTATAGCCAAGTAAATATGAAGGGTTCAGTCACATCATGGTCTTTATGTTGTATGAATGACGTCAGGTGTTATGCTATAGATAACAGATAGAGGACTTTTGACCAGATGGAAGACATATAGTTTTGTGTAGAAGTCTATTCTAGTTAATTATGGAGGTATTGAACGAATGAGAGTTGACTGAGAAAGTTGAGACTAAAAGCAGAGAAACTATTATGGAAGCTTTTTACAATAAACCAGGCTAAACCAAGGCAGAGTCATAGGAATCTAGAGAGCAGGAAGGTACACAAAATCCTCATTAAGATGGTTAAGTGGATAGCACTTGGTTACTGATTAAACAAAAGGGAGGATTCTGGGTTGGCTCTTGGCTTTCTAGCTATTCACTGGGATAGAGATTTTATGTGGGTAAGGGGGACAGCCATAGTTTCATAAACTATATTTTATTATATTTTATTTTCTATTTATTTACTTTTGAAGATTTTATTTACTTTTGTGTAGAATTGGGGTGCAGGCCAGAGGGGTGTATATTGGGAGGGTTGTTGAGAGGAGCCCGCAGAGACAGAGTGGACAGCAGAACAGGCAGCTTATGGAAACAAAACTGCTGAGGAAAGCAGCAGGTGAGACAGGAGATGTCTGCTGAGCCATGTGGGTCAGCTCCTTGGCCAGGGATCAAACTCAGGCTGTGGCCATAGTAGTACTGAGACTTAACTCCTAGGCCACCAGGGAGGCCCTATTTTCTTACATTTTATAAATATTTGCAACAGTTTTCTTTAAGTAAAATGTCTATGTGCAATAATCTCATTAAAATGGGAGATGAAAATAAATATACAAAACTTTGGCCAACTTTGTTACTCCAACTAGGCATGAAATTTATCTTTGGATTTCCTAGAAGCTAAGACAAAAATGTGGGAAAGAAAGGGTTATGCAGTTCTCATTGTTGGAGGGAAACAAACCAGCTTTTCAAGAGTAGAGCCATTATTTTCCCTGGCACTAAATTACCATGTGGGACTTTCTACAGCAGACATTATATAATGCAATGAAACAATTCATTGCGAGTGTGGAGATGCTCTTCATATTATTCCTTCCTAGAACCACCCTTCACTAAAGCAGGAGAAGGGGGTTTGCAATGAAAGGGCACTTGAGTGCCCCTCTCCTTATTGGCTGTGTGTTCTGTGAGGAAAGGGGGTGTGACCCCACTCTAGTAGACTGGAGCTCTCTGCTGGTGGGGTTGGCTGAGACCGTGCTGGGAGACTGTGGCTGTGAGATCCTGGACTCCAGTACCTCCTTTTCTCTTCTGAATTGCCTTTCCCTTCTTGAGAACTTTCTCTTGTAGTCCTTTGAGAAAGAAAGAATAGTAAATTTCAGTAAATGGACTGAACGCAGATCACTCCTGTAATGCTTCTAGCCCACTCAGCCCTTAGTAATATCTTTTTCCTCTGGACAATTAGTATTCTTTTGAGGGAAATAATATAAAGTGGTGATTAGTGATCTAGGGCTTTGGAGTCAGACCATGTGGATTTCAATTCCAATTCCACTTGCTTAGCAGTGTGATATTAGGCAAACTTTTCAATGTTTTTCAAGCCTCAGCTTTCTGACCTCTAGCATAAGGACCATGTTAGTGTTTTAGAGATGTGATAAAAGGCATCTGGCATACAGAAAGTTGCTTCATATAAGTATGAGTGGTCATAATTGTATTTTACTTTTCCTTCCCTGTGATGAACTTTTGCATGTGCTTTAACTTTTTACTTGGCTAATAGTTAAGCTTTATATTTTCTATTGAGGTCTGTGAATATTGTTGTTTGACTGACTTTGGGTCTTTGCAATAAGATACAACACTGGTTAACTACTACAACAAATTAAAAATGGTGATTGTGAACCTCTAAGATAGCCTGAAGACTTTTTCAGAGATCTATCTATCTGAACAGTCTACATTTTAAACAACTTTATGTCATTAAAGGGCCTTCTGACGACATTGGTGGAGTTCTCTAAATATTACCTTTCCGTGTACTTATGAGTTAAATGCCTGAGGTTTAGTCAGAAAAGGCAAGGTTAAATAATGCCATCTGTGCAGGCTCATATGTAGTATCTCTGCTGATGGAAAACTGCAGGGAGAAGTGACATTTTACCCAAGTGCAGAGGAAACATTTTAATCCTTTTAGCTGTTGCTGATAGAATGCAAACTGTTATTTTTCTTCCTGCCCTTTTCTGCATGCATTAGGCTTGGTTTAAACCTCCTTTTTTTCCTGTATATTTTTCCATATAAACTTTACTGTAGTTACCTTTCATTGTGACAAATTAACCCAAATGTAGCAACTTAAAAAAAAAATCAACAACAACCATTACCTCACATGTCTGAGGCTAGGTATCAGGGAACCATTTTAACAGGTTGTTTTTCCTTTGGTGTCTCCCTGAGGTTGCTGGCAAGGTGTTGGCTGGGCCTGCAGGTATCTGAGGACTCGATGGGGCTCTAGGGTCACTCCTTAAACTCCCTCCAACTTTGCCTCTCAGTTATTTATAATTTGTGAGCAGGCTTCTGTCAGAGAGAAAGAGAGCAACAGGACAACTGTCATAGTGTCCATAATGACCTCATCTTGAAAGTGACTTATAGTCACTTGTGCCCCACCAACCCTGACCTGGTGTGGAGGGGAGACGTGGGGATGCAGGTTCTAGGATTAGAGAGTGGGGAGCTGTCTTGGCTACTGGCTACCACAGACTTCATCTGTGAGTGGAATGTTAGTTCTTTCCATGGTACATAAATCCTGACTTTTGTTATATTGAACCCTGTGGTCTGTCCATTAAAATTCAGACTTTTTTTTTTTTTTTTTACAAACTCCCCAACCTGTATGTGAGCTGGTATATTATTGGGTATATGCAATAGTAGTGACATTAGGTTTCTGTGAGAAAATCAATTCACATGTACACAGATTTACGCAACACTTAAAAAGTTATCTTAAATTTTTTTTTTTAAAAAAGTTATCTTAAATATTGCAAGATCATTAAAATTTTATTTCTGGACCCTCCCTGGTGGCGCAGCAGGTTAAAGCACAGCACTAGGAAGCTAAAGCCACTTCCGCATGAGTTCAATTCCCGCCTGCCCCTGAGGTGACCACATGGTGCAGCAGACCTCTCCTGACCTGCCCGCTGCTCCTCTCAGCAGTGTTCTTCGTCGATCTGCCTGTTCTGCTTCCCACTCTGTCTCTGGTGAATCCTCTCACCAGTTCCATATGAGTAAATAAATAAATCTTAAAAAAAATTATTTCTAAACTATTCTATGATAAACAGTAAGATTTGGAAAAAACTCCAGATCGGTTTCACGTTTGAGGTAAACAAATATTTATCTTGTTTTATCGATGGATAATTGCTTTTGCAGAAACCATAAGGTTTTAATAGCGATGATGAAGAAAATTATTTTCAAGAAGGTTGAAAGTTCATTTGCTAGACTAGTTTATGCTGGGCATCATAAGAAGTCTTAAATGTAAACATCAGGTTCTCAGTGAGGGTTGGCCTGTGGTTTGAATTCTTTTTTTTTTTTTTAAAGATTTGTTTTATTTATGCACACAAGAACTGGGGCACAGGCCAGTGGTGCAGGGGTGAGAGGATTCACCAGAGACAGAGTGGGGAGCAGAACAGGCAGGTTGACTGAAATACACTGCTGAGGGGAAGCAGTGTGTGAGATGGCAGAGATCTGCTGTGCCATGTGGGTCAGCTTCCTTGCTGAGGATCAAACTAGTGCTGCAGTGGCTGCACATACTGTGCTTTAACCCCTTTCACCACCAGGGAGGCCCCTGATTTGACTTCTTAAGAGGGACAGTTTTCCTTTGTTTTGTTTCCCTACCCAGAGCTTAGGCTGACCTACGCATGACCTTGCTTATTTTATTTTTTTCTTTCCTTACATATGATTCTTCTAGGTCCCCTTTACATTGAGTATGCCTCCCACTGGGGCCCAGAGCTTGTCTTCTTTCCCTGTGACCATAAAAACCCAAGGGGCTTCGGGTTATAGAACAGGCAATGAGCTCCCACCTCCCTCCTCTGCCCACCCCTCACCCCAAATGCCTCTAAGCTAAGTTCTTATTGCTGGTTTATTGTTCTGTTTTAGGTTTTTCTTAGGTTTTCTGACTTGTAGAGCAGGAGACTTATACGGCAATGTAGTTTGCTATATACCATTGTACACAGATGCTATAATTTTAATTTTTTGGTGTAGAAGAACTAGAATGTAGGCTAGAGGGGCAGGGGGTGAGAGGATTTGCCAGAGACAGAGTGAGGAGCAAAACAGGTGGATTTACTGAAATACACTGCTGCGGGCATTCAGCAGGCGGGAGAGGAGAGGTCTGCTGCATCCTATATGTTTTAACTTCCTGGTTGGGATCGAACTTGGGCCATAGTGGTGATAGCGTTGAGACTTAGCTCTCAGGCCCCCAGAGGGGCCCTGTAATATTTTTTAGATTTAGTGAAGATTTAGATTCATCACGATTCTTAAGAATATATGATGATTTTGTCACTAGAGAGCCTTATATGATACTTTCCATGTTCCTCATGGAAAAGTGGTTTCCTGTTCCTGAAATAAGACTCCAGAATCATTTCTACTCATGTAGCATTTTACCTTCAAGATAGAGAAAAGTGAGGATTTAAGTTTAAATGTGTCTTATTCCCAATTTAACTTTGTCCCCTTGCCTGTCTTACTAGGAGAAACAATTGCAGCTCTTACAGATGTGAGCAGCTTGAATCATCCAGAAACAGATGGCCAGATCACAATTTTTACAGACAAAACAGGTGTAATAAAGGCTGCAAGATTGCTTCTTTCTTCAGTGACAAAAGTGTTGTTGCTGGCAGACCGGGTAGTCATTAAGCAGATAATCACATCAAGAAATAAGGTATTGCTTTTCAGGGTTTCTATACTTAACATTTTCCATGGTTGCCCACGCAGTTTCTTAGGTTAATGATGGGTCACTCAGTAATGGTTGTCTATTTTAATTGTTTATGTTACTCTAATTGTCTGTAGTTTTAAAGTGGTGTTTCTTCCATACCTGTAATTCCTAAATCATGGGCCAGACTTTTTGGATGCAAATAATATACCTTTCCAGAAAACCGTTATCTACTTGCAGAGGCAAATTGGTAAAAGTTCTTCATGTGTATAAATTCTGAAATCAAGCTGAACAGCGTGAGAATGGATGTGCCATGAGAATGGATGTGATAAAAATGCTGAACTTCTAAGAACCTTTTGTTCCCCAAATCAGAGAGTAACTATAAACTCTTGAAAAAAAAAACAAAACTATCAGCCAGTTCCCCACACTTAGAAAATGTCCGTATGCAAAGTCTCTAGAGCGAAGCCTGAATGCCACCAGAGCACATTGCCAGTCCGCAGCTGATGCTCCTGGCAAGCCGGGGACGTGGGCGTTCGCTGATTCCCTGGGTTCCTCCCTAAGAACGCAGGGTGGCAATCAACCCGGGAGGGACTTGTCCAGCAGGGCTTGATGACAGAAATACCTGACAAGTAAATCTAAAAGTGTATATTTAAGAGAATAAGAAATGGGAGCGGTGGATTGGGCAGTGCTAACGGACAGGAAAAACCCTTCCCCTCTGAAACAGGGCGGTCCGGCGAGGTGGTGGCGATCTGCCTTATCCGTGCTCGTCACCCACGCTTCCTGCACTGCCAGGGCAGGTTAACATGCCAACACCCATCATATCCTCATTAAAAATAAGTCAACACAGGATATCTGTGTTTTCTTTACCTATCTTGCAATGACAAAAATCTAATCCAGCACTGTTATTTTAGAGAAAAGTATTTGAAAATGTGTTTCGCTTCTGTTTACTTTATTTCTGATGTCAAGAAGACACACCACATTGCCTGCTGGCTCACTACAGGTTCACACTGTCACCCCTGGCTGCCCAGCGCTTCATGTCAGTTTCTGACTGACCCAAACTGTTTTCCTGCATGTAAATTCGCACTCTACAGATGGACTTCCTTCCACTTTCCTAAGAATGGTGCACTGAATCTTAAATCTTGTGTGTCTTCTTTTATCTATCCTCAGCCCCTTCCCACTTCTCTTACTTTGTCTTTTTCATTCCTCCCTTCTCCAGATTTCACCACAGGCTTCTCATATATTTAGTTATTTCTTTTACTCTTCTTCCTTTAATTATCAAGTAAGCTCATGTCTCCTTATACTAAAAATAAATCGTAGCTTAAAAGTTCCTAACCTTTGAACCTTCCTACCTGGTTTCCCTCTTTCTATGTCTGTTCTCTGAATCCTTCTTTGCTTTCACCTAAAATTTCAAGTTTCTGTTTTTCCTTCTTTCTATTTAGCATTAACAGCCTCAGTCTATTTCACATCTACACATGCTAATAAAGATAATGTCTATTTTGCAGGTCCTTGCAACTATGGAAAGACTGGAGAAAGTGAATAGCTTTCAAGAGTTTGTCCAGATATTCAGTCAATTTGGAAATGAAATGGTGGAGTTTGCACATCTAACTGGAGATAGACAAAATGTATGTATTTACATTTAAGAATCTTGAAATATATGTTTACTTTTTAATTACAATGGAGGTATGATCTTTGTAATCCTTTGGGTTAGTTCTTGCCCACTGGCCCCCTCAGGAGTGTGTTTCAGTAGATCTGCCTGTTCTGCTCCCCACTCTTATCTCTGGTGAATCCTTTTACCCATTACTCCCCCACACCTCTGGTCTACACCCAGCATTAAAAAAAAGAGCCAGGAAAAAGTGAGTAGATCTGTATGTCAATTTTTTTGCATATCAGCAGTTCCCACCACACACACTGGGAAAGGTCATGCTTGCCTTCAAGGTTTAGCTCAAGTACTTCCTCTTTATGAAATGTTCCATTAGACTCTTTAACCAAAGTTAGGCAAATAATTTGTCATCATATATATTCTTAGAATATTCTGTTGTTAATTTCTTTTATTATTGTTTCTTAATTTATTGTTTGTTTTTCTGCCATTATTTCTTTCTGTAATCATTCTACATTAGATTAGCAGTAATAATGCAAGCCCAGTGTTGATTGGCAGTGACTGTGTTTTAGGTGCTCATTGAAAACATTCCTGGTTACAGCCAAGGATCAGAGTTCAACAGACATTTTCAATAAAAGACCAAATGATAACTATTTTATACTTTCTGAGTCATGTGGTTTCTGTCAAAAGCATTCAATTCTGCCATTGTTGGTAAAGTGCCCTAAATAATAGGTAAACAAATGAACATGACTGTGTTCCAATAAAACTTTATTGATGAGCACTGAAATTTGAAATTTTTTTAAAATTTCCAAAATTTGAAATTTATTTAAAATTTTTACCTGTCATATCAGTCCTTTTCCATTGGTGAATTGAGTGAAAAGTCTTTTCTCACAATTAACAAAGACTTAAAGTTTGACAATGATTTGCATTTTATTTGTTTAGCAAAACAACAGATGAGTAGAATGGGAAGATGCAGTATAGGTACACCATGGAATACTACTCACCTATTAAAAATGAAACTCCTGCCATTTGAGACAAGGGTGAAGTTGGAAAGGATAATGCTGAGTGAAATAAGTCAAATATCTGATGGTGTCATTTATTGGTGGAATATAGAGAAATCAAAGGATCAGATAAAGCCAAACTAATAACAAATCATAGAAATTTGAATGGAGAACTGAGGCTACCAGAGGGGAAGGATGAGGGGCAAGAACAAAGTGGCAGGGAAAGAGCACAGCAGACAGATGAGGGTGGTGGACTGTGGGTGGTTGGGAGGCAGCTGAGGGGTGGCGACAACACCTGAAGAGGCAGAGCCTGTAACTCTAAACAGCAAACATCATTGTAAAACCAATGTTAATTTAAAAAAAATTAGGGGAACCATAAAAAAGAAGAAGAAGAAGATCATAACTGAAAGATCAAGATAGGAATAAAAGCATAATTAAATAAATGCTGTATTTTTTTAAAAGTAAATCTTCATTTAATATAAAACAAGCAGTGTTTCCTTAAGAGTTCACCATCCAATTGAAGAAAATGACATACCCTGGAAACAACTTAAGAACATTTCAGAGCAGCCAGTTGGTTATGATTAAGACAAATAAAATTGCATTTGAGGCAAGTAAGCACTTGGATGGGATTAGTCAGACCTGATCTCTGAAGGAGTTGACTTCTAAGCATCTGTTTTGAAGAAATTAATAGCCAATGAATAAGTCACTTTCTAATGTACAAGATGTTTGTTTCTGGTTAGGGACGTGGATAGACACGGGCCTTAGAATATGGCCTGTGACAGGCCCCCAGAGTGTGGCGGTCTCCCCAGGTCCCAGTTCCTGGCTCTGTATGTTTATTAAGGGCACTAGTTTCTTCCAAGTCTATTATGTGGCTGCATTTTGATCAAAGTCCTAACATTTTATAAAACTGTACTCTGCTGTTTTTAAAATCATCTTTAAATGATATTCCCCAATTGTTATTTTTGCATAAATGATTTTTTAAGAAATTGGATTGTTGGCCCTCCCTGGTGGCGCAGCGGGTTAAAGCACTGCACTGAGAAACTAAAGCCACTTCCTCATGAGTTCGATTCCCGCCTGCCCCGGAGGTGACCACATGGCGTGGCAGACCTCTCCTGACCCGCCCGTTGCTTCCCTCAGCAGTGTACTTCGTTGATCTGCCTGTTCTGCTGCCCACTCTGTCTCTGGTGAATCCTCTCACCCTCCGCATCTCTGGCCTGTACCCCAGTTCTGTATGAATAAATAAATACATCTTTAAAAAAAAAAAGAAATTGGATTGTTTATCCAATCTTAAACTGCTCAATCATTTTACTTCATTTGTAGGATTTGAAAGATGAAAAGAAAAAGGCAAAAATGGCAGCCGCTAGAGCAGTTCTTGAAAAGTGTACAATGATGCTTCTCACAGCTTCAAAGGTAAGACAGTTTTTGTTGTACTGAACTATAAATTAGATGCTAAAATGCATCTGATTTACAGAGTTTTCATTTATAAAAAAGATGGGAGTGCTAAGTTGGCATGTAGGCTGCAGTAGCATTGGAAGTGGGGATGGGGCCTGTGTTCTGGGGGAGCCGGCACATCCGCCCTAGAAAAAGCTGGGCATGTTCGAATCTGTTAAGTAACCATGGAGCATTAAGTCTGCCTTTGTTTATTTACTCTGCAAATCCGTAACTCTAATGCCTTTTCTGCGTGATTGTCAGTCAAGAGCTTGTCATACCGAACAGCAGTCAGCCGACAGATTGGTGTAGATCACCAGTGAAGAGTAAACATCTCATTAGCGGTGTGTTTCTAACTGCCTTTTCTACTCTGAATATTTACCTTAGGCTACATCAGTGAAGCGCCCCAAACAAAATTCACTGGCGTCCACGTAGTAGGTGTAGCAGGTCTTCTTTTATGTTTGTATCTACGTCTTTGAAGTTTTCACTTACATCATGTTTTAAAAGTCAAAAATTCACCCATCATCATACAATGTTGGTTCATTTTACCTCGTTCTTTTTTAGTTCTCACACATGTAAGTTAACACTTTAAAAACGTTTTAATCATGATGTGTTATGGAGGTGTTGTTTTTATTTCCAAAATTTTAAGTAAACTTATCAACGTCTGTAGTTTTGCACTCTGCCTGTTTCACTTAACCTTGCTATCGCTTTTTACTCATCCTGCTTCCGCTTTTAGTGAGGAGAACAGCTGGGTGAGCCAGGGACCCAGGAGATTTTGGTAAAGAACCATTTTTATTAGCATGACATGTTCTGTGTAAGATTTTATGTATAGTGATATGGACCAAATCTTGAAAAATGTTTCAATTGTTTTTGAAGACGTGTCTCAGGCATCCCAATTGTGAATCAGCCCATAACAACAAAGAAGGTGTATTTGACCGCATGAAGGTGGCGTTGGATAAGGTCATTGAAATTGTGACTGACTGCAAACCAAATGGAGAAACTGACTTTTCATCTGTCAGTATTTTTACTGGAATTAAAGAATTCAAGGTAAGAATAAAGACACTGTGTTTTAATTTTTTCTTTCTATTTTAAAGGCGCATCGTTATATGTATTATCCATGTCTTTGTGATGTGGATTTAGAGTAGATCTTAGAGTAGATGCTTCTTCTTAGAGCATTGCTGCTGTGCACCAACCTGAGTAACTCTGGGTCAGTGTCGTGTGTACCGAGAACACTGCTGTCCGCTATAGAGCAACTGTAGCCCTGTGCCTTTGTAGTCAAGCTATGGCTTCCCCGTGTTCTAATCAGTGCTTTGTCTGAGGTGATCTGTTTTGCTGGGATCCCTGCTCTTACTTAACCAAAGTTTGATAGTAATAGTGCTAGTGTTGATGACAATTGAAATTAGAAAAGTAACAATTCACATACTCACATTTATTGAACCAACTCTGCTCTGAGTACTTAAATCTGTACAATCCTCAGAAAAATTATTATATTTTCCACTATGCCATTGAGGAGACAGAGAAATAGGTACTAATTTGCTGACCCAAAAGTGCCAGAGTTGGGATTTGCACGTAGGCTGCCAGAACCCCCACTTCAGAGCAGAACTTCCCATCAGAAGTCAGAGAAATGGGGCCTCCTTGGTGGTACATGTGGTTGAATCTCAGCACTATGAGGTGATTTGCAGCTACTGCAGCATAAGTTCAATTCCCGGCCAGGGAATTGACCCAATGGCACAGCAGACCTCTCCTGTCTCTTGCAGTGCCCACCCTGAACAGAGTATTTCAGTGGCTCTGTCTGTTCTGCTCCCCATTCTGTCTCTGGTGAATCCTGTCACCCTCCCACACCTCTGGCTTACACCCCAGCTCTTGTATGCATAAAGAAATAAAGATCTTTAAAAAGAAAGGGCCCTCCCTGGTGATGCAACAGTTGAAGCGCAGCACTGCCAAGCTGGCTACAGCCACTTCAGCACAAGTTCGATACCCTGCCAGGGAGGTGACCCATACGGTGCAGCAGACCTCTCCTTTCTTGCCTGCTGCTCCCCTCATCAGTGTACTTCATAGATCTGCCTGTTCTGCTCCACACTCTGTCTCTGGTGAAGCTTCTCACCATCCCTTGTACCTCTGGCCTGCACCCTGTTTCTGTAGGAATAAATAAATAAATCTTTAAAAAAAAAAAGTCAGAGAAATGGTGAAGATGCTTTTTGGGTAAGAATATTGTCTGAGTCAGGAAGGCCCTGGGAAGTCATCGGACATAACCGCCTCTTCAACAGATGGGAAAACCAAGGCCTAAGAAGTTCAGTGTTGCCCAGCACTGTAATGGGCAGGCTGCGACAGGGGCTGTGGGCTTTTGCTGCGCTTTGCCTTGTCACTGTGTGATGGTCTAAATAGGAACATGGAGTGAAAGAGTGTAATGGAAAGACAATTTATTTTCAGAGATCATGAGCTCAACAAGCATTTCACTTGAATGCTGATTTCCCCTTTTTTAGGTGGACAGGATTCCTACATTTTGAGGAGGAAAAGTAGTAAGTGGTGGAAGCTTGGGGGTCAGAACCCTGCTCTTAAGTTCATGACCTTCTAGGCTATACCTGGTAGTTAACGCTCCCCTAACACTCCTGACAGAAAAAACAAACAAAAAACTACAAGGACAGTCATTCTTTCAGTTTTTATTGCTGAAAGATTATTTTTCGAATCCTCTCTTTTTCTGAAAGCTAAGAGAAGAGATGCTTTATCAAAGGTCAAAGAGTAATTTGGGGAGTAGAGGGGGTTGAGCCAGGTATTTGCTTTTAGAGTCGCATTTCTTGATCCCGGCTAACCAGGCGCCGTGCTGTGTCTGAACTGCTGCCGGCTGCTTGTGCTGCAATCCCGTCAGCATCAGGCACTCTGGAGCCGACTGTTAGGAAGAGACTCGGTGGCCCTGTCAGGGGCTCCCCTTTTGGCATTTTGTGTTCTTCTGATGTACAGTATACTCTGAACTGGGTACTTGACTGTGTATTTGTTCCTGTGACTGTGAGGTCAGATGTTATGAAACAACACAGATGTATAATGGCCTTCCAAGAAAAAAAAGGACTCTACCAAGGTGCTGTTTAAAAGCATACATGTTCTTAAAGGGAAAATGAAAAACTTTAGCACTAATGTTGTTTCTTCACATGACTGATTAGTTTGTTGCAATTTTGGTTTTCTTTGAAAGATTCTCATTGTCAATTTCACTTTCACCCATGTTCTTCCTTACAAATAAATTCTGTCTCCCTAGGGTAGAGTGACAACGGAGACAGTGCAGGCCAAGGGAGGGAACAGGCCCTCCTTATGGCCCTTTGACCTTTTCAGATCTCGCCTTTTGCATGTTAAAATGGGCCCTAAGTGAGGGTTAGCTTGAAGGAGTATTGGGGGAAGGACTCTAAGATGGACAGCAAATGTTCCCTGTGACCCCAGTCTCACCCCTGCTGTGGACTCCTGGCTTGAGTTGTTTCTGTGACATGTTTCATGGGCTAGAAAGTAATAAGGTCTCAGGGGGACAGTATATCCTACAAAGCTGAGGCAATGTTGGCACCAGTGAGCTGTGCCCAGCCCACGTTCAGGAAATGCAGAGCACAAGATGGCCGGAGGGGCAGGAGTTTCAGGAGCTTAGCGATGAGCCAGACAGGTCTCTAAAGACAAGATGCCAGAGGGCTTTGTGCTGTGCAGTAAAACTCTGGACTTGACTCTGGACTTGGTGAGGAGCCAGGGAGGGGGAGGCAGCAATATAGGTTCAAGTTTTAAAAAAATGTAGAAACCAACAGAGGTTGTTTGGATCAGGCAGGTGCTGTTGGAGGCAGAGGATAAAATGAAGGGTGACTAGTTCGGTGATTAGGAGAATTTTGCTGAATGAATGGAGGAAAATTGATGCCTTTCCCAGTCCTTCCCATACATAAGCCTCCACACCCTTCCTTAGGGCTCGCACATGTTCGTGTGGGTGTAACATCTTCCCGGACTTCGCCTTGGCCTTTTCTCAGTTGCAGATCCTTCACCTGAGGGCTTTCATTTTTCCTACCAGATGCTAAGAGATAATAGTCTTATTGCCTTCGATTCACTCATCTCGTAAAAATGCTGAATTAATGTCTATAGGGATGGCATTTGCGTGGCCATGGGTGGGTCCCGAACAGTGTGTCCTCATCAGTTGGTGGGGAACACAGTCGCCACTGGAGCCCTCGGGCAGGGAGAAGAACTGCTTGTGTCTTTCCAGGTGCTGTTAGAAAGAAATTGTGGCCCATTGAGGTAGGGAGTACTGATGTGGCTAAATACCTTTTTGTTCTCAGAGGAATATTGAAACTCTTCGGGAGAACCTGAATTTCCAATCAAAAGAGAACCTGTCTATGATGCTGGACGTTCTCTTGGAGCGTACAGAAGACTTCACTGACTCTGCCTATACCAGCCACGAGCACAGGGAACGCATCTTGGAGCTGTCCACACAGGCACGGATGTCACTGCAGCAGTTAATTTCTGTGTGGATTCAGGCTGTAAGAACTTTGATTTATCAACCTATACCTTACATGGTAGCTTTCCCCCAGTGTTCACAGAGCTAAGGAAGCTAACATAATGAGGAGTGTGAAGTGGTCAGGACAGGGCAAGGGCGTCTGGTGCCTTGTCTCCTTCCCCCTAGGCGGCAGCACCCACCCCTCCAGCACCCCAAAGCAGTTGACATCACCAGGCTGGTTGTCTCTCACCCAGCCAGTCTGCAGTCTGTGTTACTGTCACTATGGCAACTTCGACCTACTGCCCCATCCTCCCACCAGACTCATCTCTGAAAATTCCTCCCAAGTGCTTCTTCAGAGTGAAGAACAGAGGAGTAGATCCCTATCTAGAGAGGCTCCTTGTACCTGAATCTCACTGCTGGGGCCATGCAGGCATGCACAGTTCTTTACTCTGAGGACAGCTGAGTCAGGTACAATGATTTAGAAAACTTATTGAGGTCTAGATGCAATGAAGACAAGGGTAGATCCAGCTGGCAGGTAAAAGACTTTTTACATTATGCTCTTGGTCTAAGATTGGTAGGTAGCCCCTTACTGAGTTGGTTGCCCAGTGTGCTTAAAAACATACAACTTCTTTGGGCAAGAGTGATAAAGATGCACAGAAGTGGGAAAACACAGGGAGGGTGCACCCACTCCTCTAGAACCTGGATTGCAAAACTGAGACGCCAAAGACATCTCTGGCACCATTTATTTATTTATTTCTTAGACCTGGATTATGACCAAACAGTAGTTTACATGCTTTATGATATACAGCGTGACTAGGACGATCTGGAGTCGTAAGCACAGGCTTTGGCAGTAAAGATAAAAAGAAGGATGCGTGTGGTCTAGAGTGCACTGAACGAAGCAACAGCTTGCTTCCTTGTAAACAGATTGACATGGGCTGCAGCATAGATACAAATCACAGATTTCTCTGAGAATGTCATGGCACCATGTCATGGTATCTGCTCACATTAACAGGGGAACTGAACCAAGGGCAGACAGCAATATTTTGTGTTTGGTTTGTTATCTAATCTGAAGGGTAGATTGCTTCCGTGTTCACTGTTAAACCCAACATTCAGTATAAAGACTTTCTGTGCAGAAATGCTCCCTGGTTTGAGAATCCAATTCTATTTAAATTTGTAATTAGCACCTATTTCACCAGCACCCAGGTCTCTGCTGCTGCATACCAGATGCATTATTCATGCACTTATTTTTTTCCAGCCCTTGTTACCAAATGCCTTTTATATGCCAAGCACCGGAAATTTAATGATGAATAAGAAAAAGTTTTGTTTGCAAGGTTTTGCAATGTAGAAGAATGTGGGCAGGGGTGAGACAAGAACAAAAAAGCTTTATAACTATCCAGAGAGACTTTGAAAGAGGATGAATCCATCTTTAGGGAGAGGGATCAAGAAGGCTTCATGAGGTATTTAATTTAGATTCAGCATTTAAAGAAGTGAATACCCACCACCTGTTTGCTATGCCAGATACTGTAGATTCTGTGGCAAGCAAAATAAATGTGACCTCAGCCTTGGAGCTTACCAAGGCCTGGTGGGGAACATAGTCTGTAAATAAGCAAAAGAACAAAAAATCAAAAAGTTCCTCAAACTAGTAAAAATGGAGCTTCCATATGACCCAGCAATTCCACTCCTAGGAATCTACCCACAGGACAAGAAAGCATTACTTTAGAAAGCTACCTGCACCCCTATGTTTATTGCAACACTATAATAGATAAGATATAGAAACAACTCAAGTGCCCCGAAATGGCTAACTGCATCAAGAAGATGTACTATAGCTACACAATGGAATACTATTCAGCGATCAAAAATGATAAACATATGCCATTCACTACAAGATGGATGGAGCTGGAAGGGATCATGCTCAGTGAAATAAGCCAGAAAGAAAAAGAAAAATATTGGATAATTTCACTGATAGGTACAATCTAGGGGAACCAAATAAGGGATCAGGGAAAATAATTATTATAATAAATTAAAAAACAAAATTAGTAGGCCACTGTTAATCAAAGATACTGCAAGGGAGGAGGAGGAGGGGAAGGAATTAAAACAGGAAAGAAGAACATAAGGTGCTAGTGTGACAGTGTATCAGTGAATTGGTGGTGGGAATTTTATGAGGACTATACCTGAGAGGAGAAAGCATGCACTGTACAAAAGAAGGAATGATGTAAAAAGAATATATAAATATATATATTGTATATAATAAAAATATTTTTAAAAGATCAAAAAGTCAATGTACAATAGCAAACTGGGATGACTTTTTAAGAAAAGGTCAGGGAAATAAAAGGAAAGTCTGAGACTGTATGATGTGAGAAGGCCATTCTGAGAAAGAGACATTTGTGTAAGAACCTGCAAATATCTTCATTTTTAACTAGTTTGAATAAACAGATGAGGATTCCAAGCAGAAGGCAGATTAGTTTTAGATGTGATACTTTTACTGAAGAAGACTAGATTTACAAAATTCACCAGTTTAGGGAATGGGAAAATATCACTAAATAATTAAAATTCTATTTTATATTCTAAGCATAAACAAATGAATTTTTAAAAACTGCTTTTCTTATAGTTCACAAATTGATATGAAAACTGATTATAATTCATAGTTCAACTAAAATTACCAGACGAAAACTATGAGCTAACACTACAGATATTTTTTTAAAATTTTTAGCAAAACGAGAAAACAAAAAGCATTGCTGAAGAACTAGAACTTGCTATGTTGAAAATCAGCCACAGCCTCAATGAACTTAAGAAAGAAGTAAGTATAGTTTGAAATTTAGCCTCTTTTTTTTTTTTTTTCTAATTGCATACTGTATGGTTTGGGTGAAATCATTAGTAACTGTATGTGCCTGCAACCAGATTTAAATTTTTTTCCTTTGACCTAGTTATTTTGTAGCCACTGTTTTATAATGTCATCATCCTCAAAATATTCACAGTAGCTTTACTTAGAATAGCCCCAAACTAGAAACAGCCTACCTTTCTATCAGTGGGGAATTGATATTCATAAGTGAGCTTGGTGTGACCCGACAAGTACCCTTTTGCAATAAAAAGGAACAATGTTGATACAGGCGAGGACATGGATGAACTGCTAAAATGAATTTGCAGAGTGAAAGCAGCCAAATGTAACAGTGTGTGTGTATGTGACTCCATGTAGAGAAAATTCTAGAAAAGGCAAAACTAACTGATAGTGATAGGAATCAGGCCAGTACCTGCCTGGGGTCAATAACTAAAGGCAGTTCACCACACATGGGGACATTGCAGGGAGGAGCAGGAACGTTGATTGTGGTGGGGGTTACGTCGATGTTGTCAGAGCTCAACAAAACTTACCCTTGGTGTGATTTTTTAAAAAATATTCTTTTGGCTGAGACAACTTCCCTGTTCCTGAATGAAACCTTGTTCATCCCATGACTTACTTGGTCTCTCTCAGGTCATTGAAATTCACTTTAAGTCAGGGATTTGCAAGCGACTACATCAAAGCTCTCTGTTACTATAAATTAAGTTTGGGAATGTAGTCCTGCCCATTTGTTTACATGTTGTCTGTTGTTTCTTCATCTTAACCACAGAGTCAGATAATTGTAATAGAGAGTGTGTGGCCTGAAAAGCTTAAAATATTTATTACCTGGGCCTTTACAAAAAATTTTGTCAATCTCTGCTTTAGGTCGTTAAAAACAATCTCAGTCCAAAAGTTACTATGTTCACTCAGTCTTTCGATCTTAGTTGTAGGAACTTGCCCCACCTGCAGCTTTGGGGAAGGTGTGTCTCTTGTCCCCTTTCATACCCCTCACCCCCATTATCTAGCTTCTGTTTCTGATCTTTGGCAGCTGTGCTCAGGAAGAGAAGAGAGGAAGTGGGAGGGGGGAAAGTTCTTAGTCAACGATACCCTTATGATAAGACGCTGTGGGCTCAGCAGATTTTGAGGTCGGCTTTCTATGGCTATTTCCATGTGTCCACAGAGGCTTTCCCATTGCTCCCACTCACTACAAGCCCTGCTTGGTGTTGCGTCCTCAGCTTTGGGGTGCGCTGGAGATGGGACGTGCAGCAATCACACATCACATCAGCATTCCAAACAGATCGTCTCCACAGAGCCATATATATATATATATTTTCATTTTGAAGAGGGTCAAGAATTTGGGAAAAGGAAACTGGTTTTAGGGTGTTTCTTTCTTTTTCTTTTTAAAGATTTATTTATTTATTCATACAGAACTGGGGTACAGGCCAGAGATGCGGAGGGTGAGAGGATTGAACAGAGACAGAGTGGGGAGCAGAACAGGCAGATCGACGAAGCACAGTGCCAAGGGGAGCAGCGGGCGGGCCAGGAGAGGTCTGCCATGCCATGTGGTCACCTCCTGGGCAGGCGGGGCTCGAACTCATGCGGAAGTGGCCCAAGCCTCCCAATGCTGTGCTCTAACCCACTGAGCCACCGGGGAGGGCCAGGGTGTTTCTTTTATAAATCATACACACGGCAATCAGTTTGACCTCTCACTGGATACTGAACTTTATTGTGTTTTAACCTCTTGTTAAACAGAAGGGTATGACTTTCTGATAAAAAAAAAAAGCTTCAATTTTAACTAAACTATTATTAAAACTGTGCTTATCAGTAGATCATGAATTCCTTTGACAGTGGCTTGCTATTAGCTTCGTTTCTCTTACCTCTGAAATGGGTACAACAACATCAACCTAAAAGGATTTTGAGAAGAAATAATATCTGTGAGGCTGCTTTCGATACCCTGTAAAGAGTAGGAACTTCGTGTTTATTCTCTTTTCATCCTCTGGGATTGTTCTCTCCAGAACGATTTGTAAGATTTATGTGACTGTGGACAAGTCGTTTAGTCACTAAGGACTTATTTCATAGTCTAACATAAAGGGCTGTCATTAGATATTTCCTAAGCCCTGATAATTAAACAAAATCTTTAAAAATTCCTATGTGATATTTGGTTTCCTAGGACAGTGCATTTAATGTCTTTGTTTTTCACTGTAATTATTCTCACCTGATTGCAGGAATGCAGACTACCCAATTGTTAATTTCGTAGAAAGTCCTGTAATTTGAATCAACATTGGATTTCATCCAGGAAAAAAAAAATCACTTCATTCACATCAGTTTAACTCAAAGCCAGATTTTCTTAGGGCACTGTTATTTAAAATGATCTCGTTTCTGGAGAGAACACATCATTTGAAACCTATCATACCATTTTAAAAAATGTCAGGATAAGGGGAAGAAGAGATACTGGAGTGAATAGGACCCACAGATCTCCAGGAAGGGTGAGCATTGTTTAAAATTCACCCAAAGTCAAGTAAAACCTGGATTTTGCTACTTTTTTAGCTGTCCTTTCTTCTATGGTGTAGTGTGTGTTTCTAGAGCCAAAGAGTAAAGTTCTGGATAGCAATTATGGATAGACGGTCACCCCCAGGCCCAAGGAGAGGTCTGCCTCAACTGCCATCTGTTCAGTCTGTGTGTTGTGCCTGCCTTGCTACTGGTATTTAACAGGACTTGGCTGACTATGTAATTGACTAGGTCTCACTGCTTTTTCAAAGGTTAAAACAGTTTAAAAACCATGGGAAAAACCTATTAAAGATCATCCGTCACAACTTAATTTTCCTTCACTCTGAATACCTTAGTCTGAATACTGTTCTGTTTCTCACTAACTTTAAGAGTAGAAGGAGCATTTAAGTGAGAGAAAAACATTGTAGGGAAAGAGCTGGAGGGGCTGAGGATGGGAAAAGGGGCCGGGCACTCTGCTGTTGGATGACCAGTTCATCTTCTACAAACAGCATTAGTGCCGACACCCAAGGGACCCAGAAGTATGGCAGTAACACCACCTTGGGGAGAACTGTTGGCTCCCAGCGCTGCATGTGACACGCTATCACCACAGCCAGCTTTATCCACCCCCTGGCGAGTCAAGTACCACTGCTTCCAGGTTCTACTCTTTAGTTCTTAAATGTCCATGAAATGCCTGTTCACCAAACCTTACTGCTTACTTTCTGTCTTTCACACCCCTTGCCCCGTAACATCTGCAGCTTCATAATACGGCAACTCAGCTGGCAGCTGATCTCTTAAAATACCACACTGATCACATGGCTCTGGAAGCATTAAAACTTATTGGAGTAGAAGGAAATTTAGAAGGTTTGAATGAATATGCCTGCAAACTCTCAGAGCAGAAAGAGCAGCTTGTTGAGGTGAGTAATACATTTGCTCATTAAAGACCCTTGCCTTTAGTGACAGCTGTATTGTCATCAGAGAATATTAATACACATACAGACGTTGGTTAATTTATATGAACATTTTCTCTCCTTTGAAATTCTCAAGGTACAATGTTTATCTTTTCTATTCTTACAGCGATCTGGCCTGCAAAAACAAACAAACAAAAAACCTAACACAAACTACTAGAACTCTTTCTACTCTACTTTCTCTCAGAGAGGTTAGCTATTGAAGTAGAGCAACTGAGACACATTGTATGACCTTGTTTCTGTTTGAGTCGGTGGGATCTCAGCAAGAAAGTGATGGCACCCTTGAGCTGAGTTAATTAAAAGAATGTTCTAACAAAGCTCTTTGGGACCACATAGAAAGTGTATGCAATAATTTGGGTTGATGATAACAGAGCTGGTGCCACTTCTAGGCCCAAACTGACAGAGAGAGTCAGTGTCTGGGAGCTGGCTGGGCTTGGAGTCCTCAAAGCGCTGCCCTGAGAGTCATGATCTCAGGAGTAGATACAGAGTAGCCACATGCCCTGCAGTCCTCACTCGCCTCAGTCCTCCCTCACTCGCTCAGCCCTGCTGGCCAAACACAGCTGTCGGCCACATAGGTCAGTCTCCCAGCGTGGGAGACAAGTACAAGGAGGAGGGAGAGTGGACGCGGGGTGCAGAGCAGACATGCAGCATGGTATTTCTCTCGTGCCTCCCCTTTGCTATCCACATCACGGCTGTGTTGCTGAGGCTTTAATTGCCATGTTTGCAATAGTTCCCATTGCTGGTTGATAGTCTACGTCTTCTACATATGGAGAATGTCAGACATCTGTTACTCAGGAAGATATCTGGGTAAGTTGAATGTACAGGTGATGTTCATCCTACATATTGAGAAATGATCAGATGTGAACCATCTTGTTGTCTTCCTCTTTCTAATGTATTCTGCTCACTGAACCTCAAAGACTAAGGTTAGAAGGAACCTTTAGACTAAACAGACCTGCTGTCTTTCCTTTAATGGTTTATTCCTGCTAGGGAACATTCTTGAAATGACTGGAGATACATTTCCATTTTACAGTATATATGATTTGTGATTTTCCTTTTCATAGTTTTTAATGATATAATTAATGGCTGTATAAATTGTAAGTTTAACATAATAATTTGATATATGTATTGATGTGTTTATCACTAGAAGTTTAGTTAACACCCATAGAGCACAGTTTTTTTTTTCTTTTGATGAGAACTTTAAGATCTGCTTGCTCTTAGTAACTATAAAAGCTGCAAAGAGTGGTGATTATAGTCATCATATGTTTTGCACCTTTTAACCACCTTCCCTCAGTTTCCTCAACTACCCCAGGTCTGTGACGTGTGTAAACGAAACGTTAAGACTTTAGGAAAGCATGCTCATTCTAGGAATCCTGCAGAATTTATTTTAATTTTATGTTTTAAGTCTTATGATTTTCAATAATTTTCTCTGATATAGGCTCTCATTCCATTTGACTTGCTTAATCCAGTGTTATCTCCAGTGGAAGCTGTGTTGATTGACTTGAGTGGAAATGTTTGTTCATAGAATGTGTCACTTGTTGTCACATTGACATGATTTAACCGAGTGACCTTGGAGAAGTCACTTTTCTGATCTACATTCATTCTATAAAATGTATAGGCACTATTAGACCTTTTGAAAAATTCACCTTGCCTTGATCAGATAGAAAGTAGAAACAATACACTATAACCTTATTTATTCCTTCATGGTTCCTAGACAATACAGCATTATCATAATCTCAATTATAGGCAACTTTATATTTAATAGATATGGCTTCTCAGCTCCAATAAGTTTTATATGTAAAGTTCTGTTTTTTTTTTTTTGTTAATAATAAAATAATACTATGTATTGTGAAGAGTGACCCTGTAAAAGCTGAACTATAGAAACATTTCCTCATAGACCTGTCGACTGCTACGTCACGTGTCTGGGACAGAACCTCTTGAAATCACCTGTCTACATGCAGAGGAGACATTCCAGGTGACCGGCCAACAGGTATGAGCAATAGCAGACTGTTTCTTCTATATAGACTCTTTTCTGAGTGCCATAACGAATTGTGCGGAAGGATGATATAAATGGTTTTGTGTAACTAGAGGCCAAAGCTACCTGGAGAAACAAAGATAATGGGCCTGCCTTTGGTAGAGTGACTGGACATAGCTGACTTTCCATTGGAGCATCTGGCCATCTACCAAATGAGAGATTGGCACCTTTAATTCATCGCCCCAAGTGATATCTGTTTTATTTAGTCAGCCTTATGATTACTTTATTTGTTGAAGTAACATTGATTTATATCATACAGGTGTAAGCATAGTATCTATTTTAAATGAATCTATTTATAGCAGGCCACAGATTTGTACACATACTATAATTTCTACTGATCAAAATACACATATCTAAAAAATTGCTAATGTAGAAATATGCAGAAATGAAAGTTCTTGTACTTGTTTGGGAGAACTGTGATTTTTCCTCCCCCCTGAATTTCCTATAATATTATCTTGTATAATTTTCAAAAGCCATTAAACCACTGGCATCCCATTTAATACTATCCTTGTCATATTAGATAAGGGAATAAAGTGAGGGACCTGTCTTCCTTTCTTTTTTAGGTAAGTTCTAAAATATAACTGACAAGCAAAACAAGTTTGCTTGTTTCTTTCATCGCAGTCAGCCAAAAGGACTTAACTGCTGCTTGCAACCTTGGGTGGTCGACCTGCAGCCCATGGCTTAGTGGAGCACTTTGCTGGTGTTGGGAGGATGATTACATGCGCCCCTTACAGGCCAGTATCAGATGTGCCGAAGCAGGACTGTGGGAGTGAGCCTCCGCAGAGGTCATCTGCCGGACACTGCGTAACCACAGGCTCTATGCTAATTGGCAGAAACCGAGGCCTCCGCACTTGCTTGGTGACCTGGCAGTCATCCTGTTCACCTTGGCTCTTGGCTTTTTTTTTTTTTTTTTTATTCATACAGAACTGGGGTACAGGCCAGAGTTGTGGAGGGTGAGAGGCTTCACCAGAGACAGAGTGGGAAGCAGAACAGGCAGATCATGGAAGTACACTGCTGAGGGGAGCAGCGGGCGGGTCAGGAGAGGTCTGCCACGCCATGTGGTCACCTCCGGGGCAGGCGGGAATCGAACTCATGCTGAAGCGGCTTTAGATTCTCAGTGCTGTGCTTTAACCCGCTGCGCCACCAGGGAGGGCCTCACCTTGGCTTTTAAATGCATTTTAGTAGAACTGAAGGGGTTGACTTTCCTGCCATTGGCCACCAGCTTGTTATTCCTTGTGCCCTACTTCTGTTTGGTTTCCATTCTCTGCCTACTGTTTTTGTTGCAGCGGGGATATTGCAGCCTTAGTTTCTTCCCCAGCATGGTGACAGAGGCTCTTGTCACTTATAACTTGGGAAGCTTTTTCTGTTCCCACAGCCTCAGCTTTTCCTCCTCGCCTTTGCCATCTGTCTCACAAAGGGAGAATTTCAGGAAATGGAGCATGCCTCTGGGATAGTTTACATTATTTCTGGACATCTCTGCTTCAGCAGTGTTGCTTTTATGTTTCCTTTAAAATGCTAGATCCTATTCAGGGCATAGTTGGGCAGTCTGCAGGCTGCTCAGTGGCTCCCGGAGGAGAGGGGAGCAGTGCTGAGATCCAGCCCCCAGTCTTGTGCACGCCTTCCCTGAGGATGGGGAGCCTCGTTCTCATCAAGAGGCGCCTGCTTGTCTGGCCCTGGGCCTGCGGGAGTGGCCCAAGCAGGTCGAGCATCTAGCTCTATTTTCTCAAAGGCACCATGACTGATCATGTCAGTTTTCTGGCATGAAACTGACATCTTGTAGCTATAAAGTATTAATACTTATCGATTGAGTACCTGATGTAATATCCTCAGTCTGTGGAATCTAGAAAGCAAACAGAATCAATCAGTGCCTGTTGTCATGAATAGCAGTGAATGCCACAAAGGTAAGGGAGATAACGTGCCTATGTCAGAACTCCTAATTCTGGCCCTGGATCTTTCATTCTTTCTGCTGCTTGCAACCTTGGGTGGTCGACCTGCAGCCCATGGCTTAGTGGAGCACAGTGGAGTGGTGATGTGTCTGCTAGCAGCACTTTGCTGGTGTTGGGGGGATGATTACATGCGCCCCTTACAGGCCAGTGTCAGATGTGCCGAAGCAGGACTGTGGGAGTGTGCTTTATTGAATGAGTGATCAAGAAATTTCAGTAAGTTTTGTTTGGGTGGTGGGTTATGTTTTGAGGTAGAAGCTAAGGTTTAATTTCTATTAAATGTCAGGTCACCAAAACAAAGGAAACTGACCAAACGAAACCAGTAGTGTGGTGTGTCAGAGTTCCGGGATGGTTCCTGCCCACTTGTGCTTCGTGCGAGGCAGTGTGATGGGCTGGGAAGAGTCTGGGCTTTGAGTCTCTCAGCTCTGAGTTCCCCTGTCAGTGTTGCATCCCAAGTCTCAGGATATCTTCCAAGTTGCTTGGAACTTGAGCCTTGCTTTCTTTAGCTGTACAGTGGGAACAGTGCTCCTTTGGGCATGTTAGTATTTTGTGTGCTGTTTTTGACAATTAACAATAGTGTCTGCCAGACACCTAATACAGTGCCTCAGGGTTGTGTCTACTGCGTACTCATCCATGTGTTCATATGAGACTACTTACTACCCAGACTGTGTAACCACCACCCGACAAACTCCGTGCCACTGCTACTGTGCCACTGCTGCCACCACTGCCTCCTCCTCCTCCTACTGCTACACCACCACTGCCTACTACCTCTATACCACTGCCTGCTACCACCATGCCACTGCCT